ATGGTACTTTATGGGCGCTAAATGGTTTCACTGTAGAAAAAAAAAAACAGTGCATTTTCATTTTAGGGGGAACTATTTCATCAAGAAAACCCAACTCACTGGAGAAGGTAACAGGACTACTGAGTTTCAGCAAGGCGACATCATAATCATTGTTGTTACGGTTGTAGTTCTCATTTACTATGATCTTCTTCACAAGGTAGGGTATCTGAAGGGCACTCTGGGAAATAGCCCCAGCATAGACACGCCAATTTCCAGAATTCCTCATTGAGCTGTGATCAACAACAACAAAAAAAAACATGTTTATCTCAATAAATGTTATAATGGGAAAATAATAATGATTAAAATAAGTTCTAAATACTTGCTGAAAATCAAAGCAACTAAAAATAATAAACATTTGCTATTGAACAAGTTAGTTCCTGTTGCTAAACTTCTAGAGCATTAGATTAGCAACACCAGTGTGTTCAGTTCCAAGGGATATGCACATGCAGGCTAAATTCAATGCTTAAAGGGGTCATGAACGGAGAAATCAAAATTCCCTCGATCTTTTGATATGTAAGAGGTCATTGTGCTTTAAAAAAACATCCTGTAAATTTCAGAAATCAAAACTTTATAATTAGTCTAAAAAAAGCTTATAGGTAGTAGAATGTGCCACTTTATGATGTAGTAGTGTGGCTAAACACCGCCTCCACAGAAGAAGATCAACGCCTGCTTCTACATCACTGCCTGTTTAGCCCCGCCCACCGATTCATGCATGTAGGTAAATGAAGACAGTGGCAAAACGAAGGTCTATGCAGAAACCAAACGCTAAAATTTATTTGATGAATTTTATTTTTAATTAAGTGCCACGTCAGTAAGAACTTGGTCCTTTGTTCACTTCATTTTACCACGGATTCATTTCAGGATCAAACATAGGAGAGAAAATAGCCTATTAGGCCCACTTTTTTGTATGTAAACATTTTGATAACATTATAACTGGACCACAGAGAACAGTACAAAATAATAAAAAAGACAGTTCATGACCCCTTTAAAGTGTCCTTCAAATGAATAAACATGACTGTTAATTTGTGCTGAATGTAGTGAAGGGCGCTTTTGAAACCCTGCTTCATGAAGCTTTGAAACATTTGCAAATATTTTGTTTTGAATCAGATATTTGGAGCTTGTAACGAACTTGCCAAGTCATGTGACTTCAGCAAACGAGGCTTCGTTATGTCATACTGTTTTTGAACCCTGGTTTAAAAAATGTTCAAAGTAATGATGGTTCTGTGCTGGATGCCATTGATCTGAAACCATGAATGGTTTCCTTGAACCCTGGCTCATAGAAATGTGTACGTATTGCGAAAAATCATATGTATTTTACGAGGTGGCAAATTCGAAGGATTTCATACGAATGACCACCCCTAACCCTGCCCTAAACCTACCCCTAACAGAAAACGTACAAAATCCTACGAGTGAGGTCATACTAATTCATACAAATTAGCCACCTCGTAAAATACATACAAATTGGTCATGAGATAGCGTTGGAGTATCTGATGGTTTTCATTGATTTTGGATAAGTTTTATTGTGTAGGTTCATTGTTCAATTAATTTAATTTGAATACTTGTTCACATATATTACACAAAAGGAGAATTATATTTGATTGCTTCTAATTGACAGTTTCCCAAACACACACACAATTATATAAAACTTCTATGGAACTTAATTCTTTTCAGATTACATTTAATTGATTACATGTTCCTCCCATCACCAGCTGAATGACTGAATACCAACCCTTGGAAGCAATGGGCAGCTGACACAACAAAGTCTGGAGAGACAAGTGATCCACCACAAACATGGCTTCCAGTGTAATGCAGGCTAACCTGCCAAGGCCACTGGCCAATCTGAGAGGTGCTGCCCCCTATGATCCTGGAGGCACTTTGCTGCTTGCCACAGTCTGAAAAAAAAGAAATAAAAAAAACTCTTAATTCCATTGTTCAACATGGGAAGAATCATCCAGTAATTCATCCACACAATGTCTCATTAACAAATATAGCTAATAAGGTTTACGCTGATGTATCACGTGTATCATTTAGTTATGCATCACAGTAATTAGACATAAACTGAGACTAAATATGACTGGTAGTTTAATAAAAAATAGATGTATTCCTACCTGTGCATTCAAGTGAGACTGCTTTCTCATCCTGACAGCCCAAACTTTTTTTTCTTGAACATTCTTTTTTTCCAGCAGCTGAACCTTCACTGGGAGTTTGATTGACAGGCGATCTGACCAATCATAACGCTGCATCTGCCATATTGTCCGCCAAACAAATCAGACAGGAGGGAAGATGGATGTTGGTGGGCTTGACCTTGGAAAATTGTGAGTAGTTCCTAGGGCTTGGTTTTCACTCAAATTTCACGATTCGATTCTGACTCACAAGATTTCAATTCGATATGATTTCCCATTTGATCTGATTCAATATTGATTATTTTGGATATATATCAGGTACAGTAGGCTACGTGCTAAATTTTCTGAAGGAAAAAAAGATATCTCAACCAATGCTGTAAAATATAAATGAGAACCAGTTGGTACTACATTACTAAACTATTGAAGGTTAAAATTAACTAAATGTATACACAAATGGTTAAATTACACTCTGTGTCATTTTATAATAATAAAGTTACAGTTACATAATTATATTTCTACTCCAATCTTTTTTTTGAGAAATATAAACATTTAAATGGTTGCTGTCATAGAAACTTATTCAAACATAAACACTTAAGAACAGTAAAAAAATTATAATGAATAGGTTATGTTATTTGGTGCATACCTTTAGCAAAATATTTAGCGAAAACTTTTTTCTAGCTGACTTATAAGTTTATGGTCACCGAATGTGTTTTTTTTCTGAGGTAAATGTGATGTTATGTAACATTTTTTACAAGCTGCTATATTAGCGTCTTTCTGCGGTTGAAACGCTGATTGAGTGATTACATGAGGCAGGATACGGATTTAGGTAAGTTGTACTCCTTCTTTTAACATACCTTCAGATGTTTACTCATGTTTATTTTGTGCTGAAACTGGTATTAAAGCCATCAGAGATCAGTTCAAACGCACTTCACGCTGCCGCTTCTCTTGAACTGTGCGTAGCTGTGTGATCTGTCACGCCACATTAAACAGTGGCAAAACGGTATTTATTGTTTGAATATTGTAATAAAATGGTCCAAATTTGAAATCTAAGACTTCCAAACACACTGGTTTGAAATCTATTGCATGGGAGGAGCGCTTCAGTGTTACATTCATTAACTGAAAACAGGCTAGACTTCGATTCTTGGGATTTGAGAATTGATATTGTTTTGTAAAAATGAGAATCGATTAAAATCGAGAAATCTATATTTTTTAGCCCGCCCTAGTAGTTATGACTTTTCGCATTTAAACAAGATACTTTCTGATGTTCATTCATGTTTATTTCGTGCTGTAATAAAGATGAAGATATTATTGGTTCATATACAGCTTGAACTGAGGCACTACAGCGATCTGTCACGACACTTAAAGAGCCACAAAATGGTATCGTTTGAGTGTATTAAAAAGGGTACAAAATGGAGATTCGGCGTTATGATTGGTCAGATTGCCTTTCATTCAAACTCCCGGTGAAGGGTCAGTTGCCCTCTCTGTTTCAATTATGATCAATTTGTAAAAACAGTTTGCAGATAGTAGCTTCAATTAGCAAGAGCAGATTACATAGGAAGCAATTTTGAACAGTAGCACCAAACTGGAGTGACTGAAGAGTTTCAGTACATACCAACAACATGCTGTGTAGTTATGATGACGGCATCTACCTTTACTGGTGCTGGATACTTTGGAACATAGTACGGCACAGGTTTCTGTGTGAACCCATATTTGTCCTGACAAATTACCTCCTCATAGGTCATAGGAGGTGTCTGTGGGTCCGCTGCCACAGAGTAGTATGGTGGCGGAGGGTCCTTCTACAAAAGAAAAAGTGAAAGATTTCATAAATGATTATAAACTTTTCCATTAGCTCTATTATGGTTGGTGCGGTTTGACAAGTCCATTGTAAAGCATTATCATTTTAAAACAAGAAAGATGCCACACAATGCTCTTACAATTTGTTTGTGTACCTTGTCCTAAATAATTGAAATGCCTTGACTTTCCTCCCAGACCAGAATTCTTTGAGTTCTACATTCTAGTCAAATGGCATAACAAATATGTCAATATACTTGTATTTCTGGTCTACTTTTTGTTTTGTTTTGTTGGTAACACTTTATAATACGGTTCCATTAGTTAATGTTAGTTATTGTATTAACTAACATGAACGAACAATGAACAGTACATTTATTACAGTATGTATTCATATTTATTAATGTTAGTTAATGATAATACAGTTATTCACTGTTAGTTCATGTTAACTCAGTGCATTAACTAATGTTAACAAGCACAACTGTTGATTTTAATAATGCATTAGTAAATGTTGAAATTAACATTAACTAAGATTAATAAATGCTGAAGAACTATTGTTCATTCTTAGTTCATGTTAACTGAAGTAGTTAACTAATGTTAACTAATGAACCTTATTGTAAAGTGTTACCGTTTTGTTTTAACATAACCTTGATAATAGTTTGAAAAATCTCTTCAAAAAAAAAAAAGACATGCTTTAAAAATCAAAGTTGGCATGAAATGAAGTTGTATTTTATTTTATTTTTCAAATTTTGATGTACTGTATAGCCGTGTGAAACGGCTCAAATGGATTTATGGATCGGAAACAGATCGATGTAAATGGAAAGTGCACTGAAAAATAATAAGATGTACAAACAATTTTCACTAGTAAAATTACAAGTATATGTCACAGTTAATTACAAAGCGGAAAGTAACACATTAAAATAAATGAGAAATTTTTGAAGGTGAAAGACTGAAAAAGTATTTTCTTGTAAAAAGCATTCCAATAATCTTTGTTCTTGTTGAACTTTGAAAAAAAAAAATCATTTTTGTAGCATATAATTTGATTCTTTGGTCACTAAATTGGGGTGATTACTGAAACCTGATTATTGAGGCTATGTGTTTGCACTGATTGCATGTTCCATCATCAAATCCTTATATGCTGCCAATCTGTTCAATATTTGAAACTTCATCTAAAATGGCATTTGTATTAGACATGCAGCTTGGAAACCTGCTTCACTTCCTCATCTTGCTCATTTTCAGCCCTTTGCTTGTATCGGTCACGACTGCCCAATCCATTTTCATCCATGATAAGACTGGACAGATGCAACCAGAGTTTTTTTTTTTTTTTTTTTTTCTGTGGAGGGTGCTGTTTTCTGGGAAATACTTTGTCTTGAGGAAAGGCTGGCAGATTGCCTTTGACAAAGTGTTGACGTCTCTATGCTGATCTGTAACCTACATAAACAGTTTGGTCACTAGGATACAATGGATTGCTTCCTTGTGAGCACGACAATGGAAAAAAAAAAGATTACAGTGTATCTTCTTCTGGGTGTATATCATTACAGGAAGTATTTATATTTACATGAATAGTTTTGTAAAAGTATATAGGAATTGTTTTCATTGTCATGTCATTCCAAACTCATATAACTTTCTTTTGTGGAACACAAAATGAGCATTTCTAATGATGACTTCAAAAATTATGCAAATAAAAGGGGTCTAGTCTAGTATTATTCTATATATTCCCTCTAGGGAGCCTTTCAATGTTGCGAGCGAATCAATAAGTCAATGAGCTGAACTCTAGAATCGAATCTTTCCACAAATGGAATTAACAAAAACTGGACTCAAAAGAATCAGTCTAGATTTTCACGTTGATTTCAATGGTATTCCCAAAAAAATTTGAGGATGTGGGCAACACACCACAGGACCTGGATCTCGAACAGTTCTATATATTTAACCTACTAAATATATTTGCATCTGCGAGGCATCAGTGTCTCTAAAAATTTAACAATTGTCACTCCCGTGAACGAGCACTGATTTGGGTTTTTGCAACTAACACTATCTTCTGTCTCAGGTAACGACTGTAGTAAAATTACTTCATAGTACTTCAGTATTTACTGTGTGTAATATTGTCGTGGCAGTGTTGGTCTAATCCTAAACACTCTGTCACAGATTATTAAACAAAAGTTGACCATGTTTTTTTGTTTGTTTAATTTGTAATAAAACCATGGTTAATTTGGACTGGCTTGACTGTTTATTAATGCTATGCACTGTATTTGCAGTAGGCCTACACCTTCGGAAACTATGCAGTTGAACCAGATGCTTTCAATTATGTACAGTAGTATAGAGTTTTTTATTTGTGACTGATGTATTTTGAAGGCTACAGACTACCTCACTTGAATTTCCGTTTCAATGGCTGCTTTCTCTGTCGCTTTCAGAAGATGTCCTTCTTCAGTCCAGTGAGTAGGTGTGTAAGTGCTTGCACTTCTTGACCAAATAATAATAATAAACCCGTTTGTTTACACTCTCCGTGTCACTGCCATGGTGCATGTTTCACATGTTGCCAGGATTTGGTAGGGGTGTCTTCTGCCCTTTAAATGTATATTGAATTCATTTTGTATTCATGTAGTTTACATACACCATAGAAACCAATCTTTAAGTATCACAATACAGCATGAAGCTAAAAGTTTTTTGATTACTGCTTGCCTGCCTAATAGTTTTTTTTAGTATTCAACCCGACCAGTCACCAAAAATGGACCAGACCAGTCACATTTTTGGTGCAGTGCCAACTTGATGATGTCAAATATGAATCAGTCATAATAAAGAGTTTTAGAGAGAATATTATTATGTAATATTTATAGTGAGAAATTCTAATTTTGAACCTTTGAGCAAATATCTCAGTTTTCTTGAGTACTCCTATTATGAAACCTAGTTAACTGATACAATTTCTGGAATAATGAGTCACAGTCTGACATACCAAAACAATACTGACCCCAGGGTAAGTTTCAGTCCAGAGTGAATAGTGGGTTTCTCTCTGACATGTAGGATAATGAGAGTGTTATTTAAGTACCTCAACACACCAGATTTCTTTAAATCCATTCTTAATATTCAGTGGGCTTTAAAATAAGTCCTTTCTCTGAGGGTGATCTACTTTAGACAGCTGAAATAATCCAATATCAGGTTAAACACTCTCAAACAATTAGACAGGGTTTGCGCCTGCATTTGACAAATAAGATGTGGTTTAAATCTCACTTTGTTGTGTCTGAAGCTGAGATAGAGAATGAGAATGTTTTCATTTCAACTGGTTTGTCAAAACTCTAACCCTTATCTAAAAGAGAGAGAGACTAGCAATTATATAAAGCAATTAGCAGCAAGCTGTGGCAGTAAATAATAAATTAAATGTAGTATTTTAATGCATTACCTTTAGCATTTTATAGTAAGATTTTATATGAGCAGTAGATTATCACCATATTTTACATAAATCAAATCATAAAGGTAACTCTTTACAATAGAGTTCCCTTTCAGTCAGTCACGTTCTACGTTACGTCAGTCGTGACTGATGAATTGGGATCTCGCCCGAGAGCCCAATCACCTTCGAGTGTTAACTAAACAAGCCAATGACAGTTGGCGTGCGTGTTTCGCCACGCGCTCTCCTTTTATACCCGCGCTGCGGGGCGGGGTGCGCGTGGCGAAACACACATCAGCTTTTCGCTTCGGAGCCGAGCCTTCTACAGGACGAATCTCCGCGAGTGTTCGAGAGAAACAGCTGGCATTGGTGTGACGGCGTATCAGCGGGGGTTGCCATCCAGGCTGCTGAAACCTCGGCGGGCTGCAGCTTCCATTCTGCGGTCTCGCCGCGACCTCCCCTGTGCGCTTCAGCGCTCTCTCTAAAAGAGTGTTTTTCCTTCTAAAAGAGCAATTTCTAAAAGAGCTTCACGAGCGACGGGCGTCTTTTTAAAGATGGCTTCCCGCTCGGGCGTTTCTGGATGCGGTCGTTTCCTGCCT